CAAGAGGAAATGGCCTCAAGCTGTGCCAGAGGAGGTTTCAGATGGACATCCAGAAGAATTTCTTCACTGAAAGCGTGGTTAAGCATTGGAATGGACTGCCCATGCAGCAGAATTACTCTCTCTGGTAGTGTTCAAAAAATGACTGGATGTGGCACTTAGTGCAATGGGCTAGTTGACAAGGTGGTGATTGGTCAAAGATTGGACTCAATAATCTTTTTCAGCCTTGATTCTATGATTATGTATATATATATACGTGTGTACGTGTATGTATGTATGTATGTATAATAGCCACACTACTCCTGTACACTGAAATCCAATGAGGTTTTGTGCCATAACTGTATGCGCCTCGGGGAAAATGTGGTGGTGCTTTGTTTTTGTGGGTTTTTTTACAGCTTTTTTTTCATTGCAGAGCTACTACTCCAAAACCTGGCCACCAGGAAAGAGGGTTGGTATGACAACTGCTCAGAAAACAGTAGTTAGACACTGCAAACTGAGCTGTAAATGAAAGGGAGAGAAAATGGTTTGGGGCTTGGAACACAGAATACAAAGCAACCACTGGCAAAGATTAAGTGCAGAGTTTAAGGGTATTTTTTTTCTTTCAATGGAACATGATAAGCTGTACGTTTTGGTCCATTTTAAAAAGACTTAATGTTTGAGGCCCCAAGTAAGAATAAGCATCTCCTTCCAAAAAGAGAAAATATGATTTGATTTTGCTACATAGATGAATTTCAAGTCAGACTTAGCCTTGGTTAGCTTGAAAAATCTTCTGAATGCTGAAACAACATCTGAGGCAATGGCAACTACTCTGTGTAGGGGAATAAAAGTGTTCTTTCAAAGATACTTGTGGAGTCACAAGTTATTTCTCCTATAAACTAAAAAAGTCTTCAAATTGTCATTTTAAGACAAAAGGCAAAACTATACTGTGAAGCACACACTGAAGAGCAGGAATCTTCTGGCTAGTCAAAAAACAACATATGTGAGTGTTACTCTCCTTGTTCTCCTCTCTACAATTCTGTCARAAATCCACAGAGGTTCTTATTTCATAACAGACACCTAGAGATCAATTCTTTGACCCAGGAATCCAGTAAGCAATGCTAGAAACCTCATTTTAGACAAATCAGAGCTTGGATGCCACAGGGACAGGCTCAGCTCAGAAAGATGTTTAATGTCAAGAAAAGTAAGTTTTGATATAAATCCATCTCCTGGGTTAAACACACCACAAAGAAACAAAGTAACATTGCTGCAATGAATATAAATTATTATAAAAACTTTGTTTCAATAATCACTTCCACAGCTGGCTCCATAGATTACTCAGTTGCCCACATGTCCAGCCTGGTACTCCCATACACATTTCTTCTTTGATAACTTTTTTTTTTTCCCCTGTGCATTTAATCTAGAATTATATGGATTAAAGAATTCATTTCACAACTCAAGACAGTTCAAATGTAGAAATTTCAATCCAAAACATTGCTAAGAACTACTACCATTAATGGAATATTTATTGTGTTATMATACAACACGCTTCAGTTTTGTATTTGCATGGTGTATACGTTGTCTACATGTGCATAAATACACGATGTCTGAAGAAGACTTTGTTCTCACACTTTACTGCAGTCCTGACACCTGAGGGAAGCATGTTTGGAATAGCACCTGCCAAAATACACCAGCCATCACTGCCTTTCCCTCCTGAATTGTTTCCAGTGCTTGTGAAACCACAGGCCTGTCCAGCATATGGGTAGCTGGCCTAAAGAAAAGCAACATCCTCCCCTGCTCCACTTTCCACGAGCATCTGGAGACCACTAAATCAGTGTAGGCCAATCTCCACATAAAAAAGCAAGATGTATTGCTGTAGGCAACAGAGTGAGAGCTCCTCCTGCTCCCYCTGCACATAGGTGACCACAGGTGAGTCATGAGTGTGAAGAGTGAGCTATGCTGCAGAGAAACCGGCAAGTATGAGAGCACAACTCTACAGAGACACTTGCACAAAGGTACCAGAGTAGATGAACAAGATACAAAAAGCCACAAGTCGGGCTGTGTAACAAAATAGGCAAAAATGGAGCAATCCTCACCAGTCTGCTTTATGCACAATATCTTGTGGAAGTCAGGGAAAAGCTGCTCACCCCCTCTGGATCTGTATCCATTTAAACCAGAGGAAGCACAGTGTCTATATGAAATACAAAAATAAACAGAGTAGCAAGGCCACTCAAAAACTACCAAGCTCATGCTAAAAAGCTTTTTATCTGTCTGTGATCTTGCACATGAATAAATAAGCTTTTATTTGATGTAAAACAACCAAACATTTAACCTCACTTCCATTGACATGAACCCCTTAAACTCTGCAAATTTAGATTTACAAATAATGCAACAATACTATCCTCAGCTTAGTATGATGCATAGTAAATTTATTCTGATTCAAAATAGAATTTTGTGCTGGAATGTCCCTGAGATTTCACTCCTACTAATGCTATTAATTCTAGCAGTGTGTAATGTGAAATATTTACATGTATTCTAATATTCTTCTGCAACTTTAAGGAGCTGTTTACTCCATTTGCAAAATATCAGCATGTTTGAGGATTTGTCTATTGCTGTGCCACTTGTGCAGTTGTGCATGCAGCGAGGGTGTGCTTTCCACATGGGGCTGAGACACAGGTGCTGCCAGCACATTCTGCACTGCTGCCAGTACTCAGTTCTGTTACAATGAGTTTGCTCCAGTTCCTACTCTTTTTTGTGTAAACAGCTGCTTTCCAGCACTAGAGTATAGCTCTAACTAATTTCCTTATAAAAATATAATTTATTTTATACTCTAGCCCTAAAATTTGGATAAATTCTTGTTCTCACTGGAGGTTATAAGATATCTAAATCTCCATCTAATTAAAATCTGTTCTTTCATTTCACATTTAAAAACTAAATTCTAATATAATGGTGGGATTTTTTTTTTACTTCTTCACACACAAGATTTAGGAATGACTGTAGGATATACAGGGCCAATTTTTGTCTTAAAATATTTACAATCAGACAAATTAARATTCCTCTGTAGGATTGCAACTTTCTCACATCAGTTTTATCTCAAACAACTTTAATATTGCCATAATTTTAATAAATATAATAACTAGTGAGTTCAAAGTATTACTTATATATATTTATGTTTCAAACTAAGATAAAGTACTGGCTGATACTAGCAACTACACTACAATTTTAATCACTTTTCTCTAAAACAAAACCTTGAATTATTGGATCATCTGGTAAACATGCAAATCTACAGATAAAGCATTGAAGCTCAGCTGGCAGAGCCTGACTGTTATTTCTGACTCTGGGAAAGGCATCACACCTTCCTTTGCCTCAGCACATATGCATGAAAAAACAGCTATGTAACCCTAGTTACAACTATTTGTTGCTGCTACTTGCAATTCCTCTCATAGCTTCCATGCAACAAAATGGCAGTTTCGTCACATGGACTGAATGATCCCTAGAAGAGCTTAAASTATCAATATTAACCCAGGAAGCAAAGGACTATTATTAACTCTAGCAGAGACCAAGAATTGAACTCATGCCAAGCTTTACCTGAAGACTCATGGTGATACTTCTCTCATCTTGCACATTTTTAAACAGCGCATCTCATGCCTTTTTATACAGGAAATGAGCCATATGGAATCAGTCATATAGGTATCAGCAACAATAGCTCCTTTATAATAACTCTGTCACTGGGACTTTAAGCCTGGGCCTCTTCCAATCTCATATTTTTGCATTCTCATAGTTATTCTTCCATCTTGCACAGACTTTTTTTTTTTCCTTTTACTATTTCTGACACAGAAAACAAAAGTATTTCCTACATGCCAGAAAAACTGAAGTTATGACATATTCTAGACTGTTGTTTTCCAAATGAACCTGGCTAGTAAGTGCTGGAAAATCTGCAAAACTGATACTTTAAATCTATAACCCATACAAAATTTATATATTGTATTAAGCAGTGTACAATCTATAAGACAACAATACACACATCTATATAATTCAAAATAAGAATTGCATGGCCAGTTTTAGGTTTCTAAGTCCATTTTATATCCTCGTGACCTGCAGCAATATATCCTTTTGCAACGCATTAGGGCTGCGACCTCCAGTCCCAGCCAAGCCAGCTAGCAAAGCCTGCAGTACACATGCTGCTAAACAGTGCAAGTCGGGCTGCTGGACATCTGCCATGGGAAGCAACATAACACTGGATTTGTTCCCATGTGTGCATTTGAGATTTACTTCTATCAAAGACAGTGCCTAACCTTGACATTGGTCTTTTAAATTTATGGATTTATTTGTGAACTGAAGAATGAAAACTTTAGAAGTTACTTACCCTTCACATTTATCACACCAGAAGGCTGTTGGCAAATGTTAAATTAGCCCAGTTTTACCCTGTAACAGTGCCTGGTTAAATGAATTGCACCTTATCAGATATGGTGTGAAGGCTCATTAAACAGGTCCAGATGCTTCTTGTTCTGGTAAGGCGTTTTACTGATCTGGAACTATTTGTTTGAGGGATCTGAAGAACTTATTGCTGGATATGCCTCTCCCAAGGGCATCTACCTCCTGCAAATTGTAGCTACCAAATACTTTTTGTTAGACATTCACCCAATCTCTTTGTTGCTCAAGCAAAGTTGACCTGATTTTCAGGAAATCACTGACTTCTGCTGAAATCAGTGAAGCCTACTCATCACAAAAACATAGAAATGCAAAGTATCTAAGTGTAATAGAACTGTAGATTTCTAAGAGAAATCTTCCCTTATCCTGAAATGGTATCGGAGGTATGCAAAAACCCCCACTTTTTCACCTCTTCTGTACATTGTGAGTCCCTCACAAAAGCTTGTTTATGAAATTGGTTTTGCCGACTAATGACTTTTGTAATGGAGACAATTCTTCARTTCCTGAAGAAAATGGATGTTAAATACAAGGATAAATTTAAGCTTTTTTCCCCCGTGGGATTAGTTTTGGTGTTTTTGTTGCATCAGTTACCTTACCTTCCATAAGAGCACAGCCAGCAATAGGAAGATGAGAATTCCCACTAACAAACTGATGGCAATGATCCATCCAACAACATACCCACGTGGCTCCAGATAGTGCAAAGCCTCAAAGACCACCTACAAAGCAATTAGAGAAAGATCTTTTTTATAATTGGAAGTTGTATTGTTTTCTCTTGTACTTATCTTATTAAACWCATTGTATGCTGGTCATACTGATCGTATTTCATCTGTCAAACAAATATGGAATGCACCCTTAATTTAGTGCTTTCCATCAATTTCTTCCACAGGATTTAAAGCTTTCAAGTGGATTTTGAGTAGCTGTGTGTTGGATCCAAAGAATGCAAACTTCCACTCCAGCATAACACTTACCTGTGCATCAGTCCCTTCCTATTGCCTCTTGTCCTATTGSTTGGCAGTACTGAGAAAAGCCTCATTCCATCTTCTTGACACCCTTCCTTCAGATATTTATGTATATTGATGAAGCCCCCCTTCAGTTACCTGTTCATGAGACTGAACAGGCCCAATTCTCTTGGCCTTTCCTCATMAGAAAGATGTTCCATTCCCTTAATCACCTCTGTTGCCCTCTACTGGACCTGCCCCAGGAGCTCCATGTCACTCTTTTTCTGAGGAGCCCAGAATTGGACACTGCACTCCAGATGTGACCTCATCAGGGCTGAGTAAAGGGACAGGACCTCTCTTGACCTGCTGACAACGTTCTTCCTAATGGCCTTCTTCACCACAAGGACTCACTGCTGGCTCTTAGACAGCTTGCTGTTCACCAGGACCCATAGGCCCTTCTCCACAGAGCTGCTTTCCAGCAGTTTGGCTCCCAGCCTGTACTGATGCAGGGGAATATTCTTCCCCAGGCACAGGACCCTGCAACTGTCTTCGTTGAACTTCAGACCTTTCTTTTCTCCCCATCTCTACAAACACCTGGAGTTTTTTCAAAGGAAGACAGGAGTGATAAGAGCAACTGATGCAGAAGATAAGGAGTATGGGGGTGGCAAAAGATCCCAGAGGGTAGTAGGTGCATCAGCTGGTTCACAGAAAGCACATGCAACAGTTACAAAATATAGAGTGGATTAGATTATTGTTTTTAGACTCTGATAAAATGCCAGGAAAAAAAAAAAAAAACCTGAACGGGTCCAATTCTCTTGGCCTGAAAAAACACTGTTGTCTTGATGACATGAGGATTTTTAGTTCCATATTTATCTTTTGCATTTCATACTGTACATGCAGGATTTGAAAGTGCAGAAGCCCAGAAGGCAATGCAGCTTGACATGTAGCTTTATGTAGCTCATACCTCAATCAGGTTTTACACAGTGTAACTGCTCTTCTGGAAAATCTTTTTGCAATGTCAAACCTAGACACACAAGGGCGTCTACTAGTTCATCTTTTACCTGTGCCAAACACCTGCTATATCCTGATGGCTACATTTTCATTAACAAATTAAGAAAAAAGAGAACTTTTTTTTAAGTAGTTTTAAAATACCTTATTTCAGTAAAGCATGTAGCCAAGMACTCATGAAGTTAAATAAGAAGGAACTTTTGAAAGTATGTAAAGTTCATGCTCTGTCAAAGCCCTTTGCAGAAGACGTACACACTGCACTGGTACTCAGAGAAAAAAAGAAACATACTTCAGCAAAACCTGATTCAAAATACAAATTGAAAAATGTTCTTTTCTTTTTGCTTATGTACATGAAATTATTTTTACGTGCTTCCATCATGAGCCACAGCACCATGGGAGGCATGGACTTATTAAAAAAAAATGCTATTTTATTTCTGTATTATCACCTCAAATATTTCTGGTCTTTCCAACCACACAGCACTGCTGGTTGAATTTTCCATTCAAGTACTGTTATCCCTGGGGGGACTTCAACAGTAAAGAAATCATTCTCCTAGATATCTGTACATATATGCATATATATCCCTTTTATATATTTATTTATTTACATATACTAAGAAAAGCAGTATTTTCTTAAAAAATACAAGCCTGAGGTTTTCTTGCAACCTGCTTGTCTCTATCCCTGGGAAATTAACTCTAATTTACTGTTACTGTGTACTGCGTTCCTTTACCCAAGTGTATGTTTCTTCCTGACAGACTGCACTGTAAAGACAAGGAAATCTACAAAAGGAACATTATAGCAGCAAATGGAAAGGTAAAACAACAAAATGAATAACTTAACATGATGAAAACAGTAAGACAGCAAATAATTCAYTGCAAAGAGGCTGCAAAGCTACTGGAGAAAGCTCCAGCCAGGCATCAAAAAGGTAAGCTGGAGAGAACTGGTGCCTTAAAGTGCAAAGTGTATCTAAAAAACAAGAAGTTAGTTTTGTTTGGATTGCTGAGCAGAAGAAGAAGTATTCCCACATGCATTAAAAAAAAACAGCTGGGACATCATGAACACCGTCCAGTACACAGGCTGCTCCTTCCAACACAAACATGGAGAACAGGCCAAAGTCAGGAGTCCTCCATGCTGCAGACAGACAGCTAAAGCTTAGGCTCATAAATATACATTTAAATTTCTTTGCATATAAATATGCTTATAAAGACAGTTTCCGAGTCTTCACAATCATAAATTTACTTTTTATAAGGGTTTTTTTTTGCTATTGTTTTTCCAAAAAAAAATATCGTTTTATCATTGTAAACGTAAATATACCTAAATCTGAGCAGAAAAAATCCACGGAGGACAATCACTTGCCTATTGCATTGTCTTGGTTTAATACAGTTTCAGGGGAACACTCTACAATTAGTTCTCCCCCTTTGTTTTAACCAATCCCTTTTCACCAACAAGCAAAAACCAAATAGTAGCAGATAAAAGTAAAAAGGTATAAGTTTACCAGCAAGCGAAACWGCAAAAGGCAAAAAAAACCCCAGTAAATAATTACTAATACAAAATTACTACATCTCACAGACCCCCACCAGAGACAAACTTGAAATGGCCAAGCTGACCCATCCATGGTGGCTGCCCCAGATGAGTGCCTGGCTCTAAAGACAAAGGAAAAATGGCAGCAAACTCACTCACGAAGGTAGGAGCTTACAAAGCAGTTCTAGCGGCAGATAGGAATTGCCAGCGTGTGTGGGAACAGTGTTGCCGCTTGCTGCCACCTTCTGGCACCTGCTGGACTCTGCCAGGGTTGGTGTTGCTGCCTCTGGTCCCTGCTCTGATGGAAGAGGAGGGAAAGAAAGAACGGACTCTGAGCAGTGACGCGCAGCGGCACGGCACYATACCAGCTCTGGCTTCATGCAGTCCACAGGTGTTGCAAAATTCACTCCGAAACAATTTCTGATTGCAAAAGGCAGATTCTCTACTTTGCTACTGTTGCGAGTAGAGGCAAGAAAAGGCCGAGAGGCAAGCCAAACAGATAGAAATACACCTAGGCGTCCCGACTTTTAAAAAGGCCAGAGCATCACCTCCCGATTGCGACTTTTGGCTGCGAGGTCTTAAAGAGACAGCAACAATTTTGGGCACAGATAGATAAGGAACACAATGACATTTTGGACTACCTGGGATGTGCATTAAATCTGGAGTGACTGAGATGGAAGTAAAAGAACAGTGAACTCTATCCAGAAGGCAGGAATGGCTGAAAGGCTTGATGGAGCATACCTGTACTTAGTAGATTGCATCTGACACCTATACAGCAGCCTTAAGCTTTACTGTGCCACTTAAGGCCACCGTGCTAGAGGGCCTGCATGCATTTTACGAAGTTGCCTTTTCACGAAGTCAGCTTTACATTCCCTCACTTTCAACAGAGGCAGATTCAGAGGCTTGTTGTACAAAAATCCAGCTAATTCTTCTTTCCACACTTCCAGAGGCACTCCTTTTGCTCCTTAAGAGCACTCCTCCTCTTCCTGCACATAAGCAGTGAGGAGAAAATGTGGACTCTTGGATCTGGTATTTGACTACTGTGGTATGACAGAGCTTATTGTCAGTTTTGCTCACATACAGAGAAAAGCGCCAAACCTTCATGGGAACTCATATGATGAAGAAAATTAAGTATGCCTCCTGAAAATACACCATCAGTTTCAGACAATATATAAGCATGTTAATACCACTGTTATCACAGAGCCAAATCCAAACTCTGATCATCTTCTTCATGTGATTTGTCTAATATTACATCAAACAGCCAAAATGTATAATTACAAATCACATCAAATCATTCCAAATCGAGAGATTATTTCTGACAATTGGACAAATGCACATTTTTTAAAGATGGGTTGATTTCAAAGACAGCCTGCTATCCAATGAAGAGACACTCAAATACACTTTTGCATCATCCTTACAAATTGTCTATTAAAGTTTCAGAAAGTTGGTGTTTATTTGGGTGATCCACCAGTATTTCTTATACTATCATTATAAATATCACTCTTCCATTTGTCTTCCTTCTCCATTTATCTTCTTTATAGAGGGTTTTCAGTCTAATGCTGTAAAAGGACCCCTAGAAATAACAGTACCTGGTTATTTAAATGTGATAAGAAGCCCACATTAAGCCGTAGACAGCAAAAAATGCCATTGCAACCTTATCATGATAAAGTGTCTAAGAAACGTTCAGGAACACAGTCATGAACAGATTCATACGAAGTCCATGTACAACTGTTCAGAAGGAGCTGCTAGCCAAATGGATATGGTACTGCAGTCCATGGCCAATAAAGAATACAGGATAAGCTTCAAAAAGGAAGAGAGGGGTATGAACAATGTTATTTTCCAGACTCTATTTCCAACTGAATAATTATGGCTTGCAACAACTACTCTTTCCTTCTGCATTCCATAAGAGAACACAGAAAAATGAATACCTTGAGCCAAGTCGTGTCTCAATTTTTTTCCTGAACATGACCCTGTGCAAAACATACAGCAATGCTGAAGCTGGCATATGGAAATAACATAAATCAGAGAGCAAATGGCACTCACATGAGAAAAGACTTGAAATTACAAATTGATGTTACACAGCTACAATATGTCAAGCATGCTCTTTTACAGCTAGGGCTTCCCAGGAACTAGAAGCAAGCTCTTGTTTGAAGATTAAAATAGCTTCCCAAAACACACAGAGTTCTTCATAATGCAACTCAAGATTTGATGAAAGGCTTTCTGAGAACAGGAAAAAGACAATTTCTGGTTTTGCTTCATTTTCTTTTCTTTTTTTTTTTCCCCTATGCATTAGATAATGATGAAATACAGCAAAGCTTGCATTCCTAGATAAAAGGACTCCTAAAGTTTGAACATCAAATAATTGCAATCTGACACATTTTACAGTGTGCCTATCAATCTTAGAGATTCTAAAACCCTTTAAATATGAAAATATTTGTCATAGAGGTACTGGATTCTTCCATTTCTGTCGGGGCATGGGTATCACAGTCAGGGGTTACTTCAGTCATTAACAAAATTTTGCCACACAGTTGCCAAATGTGTTCTGTGCAAGCTGCAGAACTAAGGAGAGACCAAGCAATGTATCAACAGTCAGGACTGCAGGCCACTTACAAGGCACATTCTCAGCAATGGCTAACTATGTTTTTCATTTTAGCTTCCAAGCTTAATGTAGAGAATGGCACAGAAATCTGACAAAGCAAATAAGACCGAAGGGAAAAAAAGAAGTTCCTGTCATATAAAAGAATTCCTTTTTCTGACAGCTCTGACAAAATAGAAATTTAAGACTAGAGTTACAGACATGATTGTGGAGGGATAGTTTTGTGCAAGTAGCTGGGTTTGCAAGCTGCAGATTGAGACATTAATTTAAATGCGGATTGAGCTCCGGGTAGGAGCCGGAGACACGAGGTTGTGAACTGGGTCGTGCCAGCCAGGTGAATGGACCCTGAGAGACATAGCTGGAGCAGTGAACTGCCATACTTTTGCATAACAAAAAGCAAGAAGATCAGTGGCACCAAAAAGGTGGGAGACACAGCAGGAGCAGACGACTCAGGAGGAAGAAGGAAATCAACRCAAAATGGGGTATCAAGCTTATACTTGACTTTTACCAGCTCAGCACAATAAAACAGTTGAATGGATTTCTGAAAGTTTTGGCACCCTTGTCCATTTTCACAGGTCCCAAAATAAATATTTCATTCTGGCACATGTGAAAAGACATCGCTGAGGTTTCAAGTCTCTGCTACGATTTCAAGGAAAAATAGATCAAAGCAAATATTAACCTTAAATCAGGAAGCTAAAACAAAGTTTTGCGTAAATACATCAAGGGTATATTAGCTAGTACAACACAGATCACACTGGTTTGACATAACATCATTCACTCTCTTGATATGGTTATCACAGAGAGCAAGCCCACAAAAGCACAGTTCACGGTACTGTTAGTCCAGACTGTCAGACAAAGTCCGGGCACTCTTYTGAGCCAGCCTAGGCACAAATTCCAGTTTGTTTAGAGCTCTCAGTGATCTCCAACCTATTGGGATAAGAATACATTTCTCTTGACGTTTATACACTTACTGTTTTTTCTTCTGGGCTCCCATTGGGCACCTTCACAACTCTAAGGTCATGGTCCACCTGCAGCCTTGCCCTTGTGACAAACTGGATGACTGATGAACTGTCCTGAGAAGTAAAAAGAACTGGACTTAACAATGGAAAACAACAACAACAAAAGCACCAATCTCCTCTGCCAAAAAAGCCCAACAAACACTTTCCAGTATAATAAATATACCCAGACGACGCTTAGTGAAGGCTAGGTTGACAGTTTAGTACTAGCCTGGTTACAAGTGTGCTTTGAAAAAATATACTTTATGCTCATAACAGACAGATAACTGAGCACATTATTTCAGATTATAACAAAATCAGGTATGTTAAACTTCGAACACGTACCTTGTATTTGGTTTGTTAATGTTCCCCACATTTACCACGAAAGCAGGACAGAACATTGCCAATTACACAGGCAGGCTCGATATTAACCATGATAAAAGGTTCCAATTTGTTTTTCAAGTGAACAGGAAAATATAGAAACTGGAGTAAACTATATGTGCCGGGGGGAAAACTTCTTATTTGAATCTGTGCATGGCAAATATCTTAATTATTCACTGTAGACTTCCTCACACTAATATTTCTCCAATTAAATTTCCAATGCATTTTAACAGGCTCATTTAAATAAGATGCCATTTCAATTTATGGATTAGTCATTTGTATGTGGTTCACCTTAGAAAGGGTAGGTGATAAGTAGAAAATGGCATGCACTGGTGATATTCACTCAAACACATGTAAAAACAATACGTCTTTTAAAGGAGCGTTGCTAAAAGTAATCTTAGAAGGGATMCAGCAGATAGGATGAATCCTGGATATTCCCAAGCCTGAATTTCCCAGAAGCACATTTTGCATGCACTCAGTTACTTGTTTACATATTTTGGCATTCTATAAGCATATRACAAATACCTGAAACTTCTGGCCTTGCCTATGCTTCCTGTTTTCAAATATGAACAAACATTAACAGATTCACTGGTTTCAACTGGAAAAGCTCAGGGCTATTAATTCCTTTARCAACTGTTTTTTAGTAAGGGCCCTCTCAGATGCTTTTAGTCTAACTGCTATGAAAGACAAGGTTTTTTTTGGAGGCTCATGTTATTAGTTTTCGTCTTTAATTATCTTATATCCTCATAATCTTACAGCATCTTGACACAGAGTCATCGTTTTTGTAAATAAATGAAAACGGGTCAAAATGCAGTAAATCACTAGAAATTTAAAAGATGTACTGCCTATTCAGTGGCTTCAGGAAAGACAGAAAGTAACTTGCAACCACTTGTTTCTTGTCACAAATGTTAAGCTCAGCATTAATATAGTCATAATGCATCTTTTTTTAAGAATAATAATTAGACATAAAAATGACAAAAAACTCCCATTCTCTGTCTACACAACAAGATAGATAGCTGGTCACAGTTTATATTCACTTACATTAAAAACCAAAACAMTTTCAGAAATCAACTTTCAGAAGCCTCTAACCTCAATACCATGCACACAGTAAGGGGTCTCATTTGTCATTTTTCAATACATAAACTTCTGAACTAAATTTATTTCTATCTTAATAGGTAATGAGTAACAACTAGGATTAACACATCCATATRTACTGTTAAATAAGTAGAGTTGCTTTGTTTCTCTTGGGGAATTTTCTCCCATCTGTTGCTAAGAGAAAATAATGACCAGTACTTAAGAGAGACAAAAGAAGTGGCCAAGGTTCAGGGGAAGGGTGCAACTGGCTATTCTTTTACCTAAGAGGCTTTCTCTTGGGATGGGCAGAGATACCACAAGATTTTGGGCTGGGAGGAAGGAGCTGCACACAGCTCCTAGCTCACTTTTGCTCTTGTCATCAGAGGAGGATGGTTGAGCTATTGCCTACAGCGGGGAGAATCCACTGCCACCGTGAAGCTCAGCCCTGTACTTCTTCCTTACTGCTTGTAAGAGCAGTTGTTGAACTGGGACCTTATTAACATCTGACTAGAAAGGACCCTCACTATCTATTCGTGTGCCTCAGGGGAAAAACATGGGACCCTGACTCCCTCCCCCTTCCCGGAGAGCAGGTCTCCCCGGCTGCATGCGGCAGCTGCTCACAGAAGCCCAACTGCAGCTGCGCAGTCCCTGCTACTTTCTGCTGCTGCCTTGGGCTTTTTTGCTACACTCTAACCAAGCACCCCGTGTCCACCCAACACCCGCAGCTTTGGGCAAGGTCGTGTAGTTTCTGTTACCTTTTGTTTGCCATGCCCAGAGTGTGCCTGCTGCCCCAGCTGCCCGTCCCAGGTTCCTGCTGCTGTCCATTTCGCCACCGAGCCCACCCATCAAGTGAAGGCGATGTGACAAAACCCCCGCGCCACAGCGCCCCTGCAGGAGCGGCGTAATTATAGCACCCACCCTGCCTGGCCAGGACCCACCACCGCCCCTGCCGGCTGTGACCGTAACTGCACCAAAGAGGAGGGCGGGACAGCCCAGGGGATCCTGTCACTGGGTTTCTGGTTTGTTTGTTGTTGCTGCCATCGTTGTTGCTTGTTTGCCTTGCTACACATACTAGTAAAGAACTGTTATTCCTTTTCCCATAACTTAGCCTGAAAGCAAATTAATTTCAAAGTTATAATAATTCAGAGGGAAGGGGGTCATATTTTTCATTACAAGGGAGGTTCTGCCTTCCTTGGCAGACACCTGTCTTTCAAACCAAGACAATTGGTTCACATAAGCACATTTAAATTGGCATTGAACACAACCTACAGGGAGTGCACATACCTTCTTGAGTATCTCAGTATTCAGCAGCATGTAGATATTTATATCACAGGACTCTGCTTTAGGTAATGAGCTTAAGTTGCAGTGTACAATGAAACAAGACCTGCCTGGTCTTTCACAGTCCTACAAGAAATACGAAAACGTTGTTAGGCCAAGGAGTAAAAATTCAATGATAAATTGTGTGACAGCAAACACACCAGAAAACTGAAGTTATATAGTAAACTGCTATTGTACAGCACTTCTGCATTGAAATAGCAACTTTTCAAGACCTGAAGACAGCTGAATACAGACGTCTGCATGAAAGCAAGCCAGGGAAAATTCAGGCCTCTACAGAGCTGCTGAGCCAGGCAAGCATTCAGGGCTGGAAGGAACATCAGCTGTACATCAGCCCCCCATATGGGTCAGGCACCAAGGTACAAGTGAAGTGACCCACCGCCCCCATATGCCTCTGACAGAACACAGGAGCAAAGGCTCTGGTAACCAAGTGTGTGCTGCCATGTCAGCTAAATCCTTTTCCACTGCACTTGCTGAAACTTCCTACTTTTAAAAGTCAGACAACTACAATCATTAAATGTCCCCCCAGCACATCATCAGTATTACTATACATGCTCTATAATGAGCCACCTGTTTCAGATCTTTGTGCCAAACAATGCAAAATGTTTTGTAAGGTATGTTAAAGTGGTGCCATAAGTGGTACCATTTCTTACCAAAACTTTTCTGCCAGACTTCGTGAAAAAAGCAAATATGGTGTGGAAAATATTTTCATTCTCTTGAGGAACAATGCATGGGCTATGGTTTCTGTGGAAAGAACAGCTTCCTTTGTCCTGACGAACCTGCATGCACAATTATAAATCACAATTATTATTCTGAATTAAATTAAGTTATACAAGAAGGTTGAATTAACCTGTCTGTAAAAATATATACCTAAATCTGAGCTAAATATCTGGACTACCATTAAAAGTCATAAGAGAAAATCAATTTTGTGGGTTAAGGTTTCTCCTTTTGTTTCCTTTCTTGGAGAATTTTTCTTTCCCATTTTGTTGCTGGGATACACTGATTGCCAGGTCATCCTTTTGATGGCTCGGCGATTGGGGTAGGCAAAAGAACCTAGCCTCACTCGAAGAGTCTCCCTAAACACTCCTCCTGCCTGGCAGTTTTTTTTTTCTCTCTTTGGAGAGAGGGAAGTTCTCACAGGAGTTTTGGGCTCAGAGAGGGTGTGTGTGTAGGGGGGGTGGGGATTAGCTTCACTTCCTGCCCTGCTTGGCTCGGGAGACAGTAGACCTGCTGCTGCAAAATCCAGCGTCTCSGGTCATTAGTTCCTGTTTGCTGCACTGTGATCTTCTGCCCCCKCCCCATGCCTTGCCAGGGACCCCTGGGATTCCAGCTGCCGTAGTCGACTTCTACTGCATCCCGTCTACAGCCGCAGAATTCTGCCCAACTTTTTGCCCATCTAGCAGTTCTGAAGTTACTTGCTATCCAGAGGAGCACCAAGATCGGCACTTTCCCGTGTAAATTTATAGAAGAACATCTCTCCATCCATCTCTGCCAGTTTGTGCTCGTCCTTGGCCACGTGAAAAATCTAAACCTAGCCGAGACCCGCGCCACAGCGACCCCTGCAGCCGTCAGGGAATCATCGCCCTGCCCAGCCGGGAGCCAACAGCACCCCTGCCGACTGAGACCACAACTGCACCAAAGGGGAGGGTGTATCTCCATGTAAAGCTGCTACTGAGTTTGTAGTTGACTTAGTTATTGCTATCATTGTTGTTACTTATTTCACCTTACTATACATATTAGTAAAAACTGTTATTCCCTTTTACCCATATTCTTGCCTGAAAGTCTGTGATTTTCAAAGCTATAATAATTCAGAAAGAAAAAGAATCATATCCACCACTCAAAAAAAAGTCCCTGCCTTCATTAGCAAATACCTGTCTTTCAAACCAAGACAGATTTTGGCACCCAACGTGAGGCTAAAGGGCACAGGGAGGAAAAAGGGGTATAAAAGGAATAACAGTTTTTGGGTGAGCTATCTTTGTGTTCAAGATACCTTTGGGCTGTAGGAATCTCACTAAGCATTATCATGTGGTCTAGCATACCTTTGTTTGGGTGGCACATACTTGTGGCTGTATTTTTCCCATTTGTAGCTTCTTTCCTAAGCATGAGTCCTATTACTAAAGCTAAGGTAGCCATTATCCAGTTCACACAATGGGTGAATAAGGTGAGGATTTCATGGATTTTTAACTTCCTCTGGACAGCAGGCACATGGATACAGAGCTACCACACACTAAGTCCTTGCTTTTGGAGTTGGGTTAATAATGATACCTACTGTGAAGAAATAACACCAGGGGAAGCTTTCTCCCAACCCTTCACCCATTTATTTGGGGCTATTCCATCAGCCTTTGAAATGTCCATTTTCCCCCTAGATGCTGGCTACATTATACTAATATGCATATTCTGTTTAGCATTGAAGAACAAGGTGAGACTGCCTTGGGCAACCACTCTAACATCTGCCCCAGAGACCAGATATGCTGCCACAGAAACTAAGGATATTGCCACAGAGAATAGGGATGCTACCACAGAAACTAAAAATGTTGCCACAGAGACTAGGAATGCCGCCCCAGAGATCAGGGATGTTGCCACAGAGACCAGGGATGCTGCCCCAGAGGCTAGGGATGCTGCTCCAGAGGCTAGGGATGCTGCCCCAGAGACTAGCAATGCTGCCACAGAGCCTAACCCATACCCCAACCCTGTCCCTCTGCCTGACCCTGCCCAACAACCTACTTCAGAAACTGAATGCCCAGAGTGGGTGAGGGTACTGGTGCAAGAGATGCAGGAGCTGTGCCGCCTGGAGTGGGTGGGGGTACTGGCAGAAGAGATGCGGGAGATGCACCAGGGGCTCAGGGAATACGTCTTCCCAGCTGGTGGCAAACCCTCTCCCTGCCCCAAAGAGGAAGAGTCTGATGGCGCAGCAATAAAACCCACGAACGTTACACCTGTCCAAGTTCTGGCTGAACCGCAAGACCAGCCACAACCAACTGCAGTAGCCCCTGTGCAGAAGAAGTATAAAGCCAAATCAATACGCTCAGCTAATGATGATAAAGAAGCAAGGCCCTCACAACCGGCAGGGGAGCCAGAGCCTGAAATAATCACCAAGTCCTTGTCGGATGACAGCCTCCACAATTTTGCAAGATAACATCGTGTGACGGGGGGGGCGAGGCTTGTTCAACCTAGCTACTTTGAGTTTAAGATCTTATAGGCTCAAGTGTACAATTAAATAGTAACAAAGCAAAGTATTTGAGAGCCTTAACCAAAGGTGCGAGTATTAATCAGGTGTTTGTGAGAGAGCCAAAACCCCTTTCTCTCTGGGAGCAGCTCTTAATGACTATAAGAGAGAAGTTTGTCCACAGAAACAAGATGCAAAAATACCATTACAGAATGCCCTAAAAGACCATTGAAAAAAAGAAGATGCAACAGTTAAAAGAAGTAGGAGTAATAGAAGCACTCTTTGAAAGAGACAGGCAGCATCATAATGACCCTGACCAAGTCAAGTGTGCCAGACACAAATGCTGTAAAATCTGGCAAACCAAGAACCATCCCAATACGCCATCTTCATTGCCACGATTAATGCTGATGATAACTGAGAGACAGTGTGTTCTGTAGCCAACAGGCTCCGGTATTATGTGAGTATGATCGATAGCCCGATGCAAGCTCACATCTCTGCTGTGGTTAAAGACCTCCAAGAAAAGTTAAATGAGATTAAAGAAGAGATGAAGAAGAACAGTGTAGGTCCAGTGCAAATCACAAGCCCCAACACCAGAGCCTGACATCCCCCAGCAAGGGAAAGAAAATACACCACGAGCTGAGTTGTGATTCTTCCTATGTGACCAAGGGGAAGACATGAGTAAGATGAGAAACCCACTTCTGCCCTGACAGCCCAAGTGCATCAGCTCAAGGGGGAGAACACTACCCAAGGCAGTTCTTCTAGAGAAAAAGTAGTCTCAGCTTCCTGTAGCCAACCCACTAGATGCAATGGAGGGGGAAGTGATATATCCAATTCCCTTGGAGGAACCTGTGGGTGTGCCCATGGAAGGGATGATACCCAAGATTAGAGGGGCCCTGSCTCTAGCCAGGTAGAGGCATGAGAAAACCATGTCTTCTGGACGGTGTCGATCTGATGGCCTGGCACATCAGAGCCACAAAAATACGAAACATTAGTTGACATGGGAGCGCAGGGTACTCTGATACCATTGGGACACATGGGGAAAGAACCCATTTCTATTGTGGGGGTGACAGGGGGACCGGAAAAGTTAACTGTGTTAAAAGCTGAAGTAAGCCTGACTGGGAGGGAGTAGCAGAAACATCCCATTGTGACTGGTCTAGAAGCCCCATGCATTCTGAGCATAGATTTCCTCCAGAATGGTTTTTTCAAAGACCCAAAAAGACTCAAATAGGTTTTTAAAATAGCTGCATAGAAATAGAAAGCATCAAACAGCTGAACACTTTGCCTGGACTATCCGAAAACCCTTCTGCAGTCAGATTCCTGAAAGTAAAAACGCAGCACGTTCCAATCACCACCTCGACAATACACCACCGGCAGTACCGTAAGAATCAAGATGGCGGGATCCCCATCCATAAGATGATCCGAGAGCTGGAGAGCCAAGGGGTTGTCAGCAAGGCCCATTCACCATTCAACAGCCCCATCTGGCCTGTGCGCAAGTCTGAAGGAGAATGGAGATTGACAGTGGACTATCGTGCTTTGAATGAAGTGACTCCACTGCTGAGCGCTGCCGTGCCAGACATACTGGAGCAACAGTACAAGCTGGAGTCCAAAGCAACGAAATAGTAGGCCACCACTGACATTGCCAACACGTTCTTCTCCATTCCTCTGGCAGCAAATGCAAGCCACAGTTTGCTTTCACCTGGAGGGGTGTGCAGTACACATAGAACCGGCTGYCCYAGGGGTGGAAGCACAGTCCCACCATCTGCCATAAGCTGATCCAAGCCATACTAGAAAAGAGTGAGGCTCTGGAGCATCTGCAATACATTGATGAGATCATTGTGTAGAGAGACACGGCAATAAAAGTATTTAAGAAAGGAAAAAAATCATTCAAATTATCCTAAAAACCGGCTTTGCCATAAAATGAAACAAAGTAAAAAAACCTGCTCAAAAAAATCCAATTCTTAGAAGTAAAATAGCAGAATGAATGACATCAAATTCCCACTGAAATCATCAACAAAATCACATCAATATCTCCACCAACCAACAAAAAAAGCCCATAAACTCTCTTCAGTGCCACAGGCTTTTAAAAAATGCACATCCCCAAATACAACCAAATCGTAGGCCTTCTCTGCCTAGTAACCSGCAAAAAAAAAAATGCTTTCCATTAAACCTTCATCCAAAAGCAGCAAACCTTCATCCAAATCAAACAAAAAAATCACTCATGCAATAGCCCTTAGCCCAATAAAAACAAAATCAAAAATGAAAAAAGTGCTCTACTCTACAGTCAAAAGCAACAGCCTGTCCTAGAACCTTTGGCAGAAAATACCTAATAAGACTCAAAACCAACCACCAAAATTCTAAAACCAAAATTACCGAAAATCTAAAGCCAACTACACCACAACAGAGGAGGAAATCTTAACAACCTATAAAAGAACCCAAGCTGCTTCAAAAATAATTAGCACTAAAGCCCAACTCCTCCTAGCACCCCAATTACCAGTACTAAAGTAAGTGTTTAAAAAGAAAGTTCCCTCCACCCACCATGCTACTAATGTTACCTAAAGCAAATAAATTACCCTCATTACTCAACATGMCCACATTAAAAACCCAAATCACCCT